GCCGCGATGCTAATTTTTCAAAAATGTCCAACACAAAAACCTATGTCTCGGCAGCAATCCACAAAGCAGTTGTGAAAGTTGATGAAGTTGGAACGATCGCATCTGCCTTCAATCTATTTGATCTGAAAATTAGCCGCAAGATGTATACAGCACTACCAAGAGATGTCATCATCAACAAGCCTTATTACTTTGCTATTGTTGAAGGAAACAATTTGCCATTTTTCTTCGGAAAAGTTTCACACCCAAAGTTTTAATAAAATTAACATTTATTTTGTTTTCAGGTCTTTTAATTATTTACTCTTAACAAAATAATTCAATAACTTTGTTAAATTCAGTTTTCATTGTAATTGTTGTTGTTCACTAATTTTCATGTTTTTGTTTTAGATTGTATGAAACAAGTGACATAAAAAAATATTTAAACAAATTTTTTTATCTGAAATTATTATTATTAAAATTTAACCATACGTCTCAAAAAACCTTCGTTTTTGACAATGAAAAAATAATGGTAATCATTTAAAAAAATATTACTGATGTAGTGTTTTATAAAATCAAAAAGCAAATTGCTAATTATTGTAATTGATAAAATAATCTTTTGTTTATTGCTTATTTTTTTATTTTATGGCAATTTTATTTTGGAAGAAAAAAATGTAATAACAAAAAAAATAATTAATTCAAATGTTATTAAATTTAACAACAAAAAATAATTTCAAAAGCAAAAATGAGGCAGTTCAACATAATAATACATGTTTTTCTATTGTGGCAAAATAGACTCAGTGGTATAAAAACATTAATTGAAACAAATATCAAAATGTTTTATTTTTTTATATAAACAAATATATTACTGTCTTATAATTATCATTTAACTTTATATGTTATACATTAACTAATACACCCAGATTTTAATAATTAAAATTAAAATATTGTTTATCATTTTGTGCTTTAATTTGAACCAAACTCAAATAATAAACTTTTTATTTACTTATATTGTATTCGTTGCAATGAAAAATTACTTTATATTTTCACCATAAACGATAATGTTGTTGTGAATTTCAAATGTTTCGATTGTGGCAAGTCTTGTTATATCCAGTTCACTATTTTTCAAATGACAAATTAACACCAATTCAAAGAATTAATTTTATCTAAGTGGTTCATTGTGTGTCGATTAATTATGGTAATGTTAGCATAATTCACACAAATCGCTGATGGCATTATGTAGGTATTTCATGTTCCATTAATTACAAAATAATCAATAAGAGTAATATGATTAAATTTGTTGAATTAAATGATAATGCAATTAAACAATTAAAATGATGATTATGTCGAAGTAATTTACAATTTTTATATTTTTTGTGTTGGTGAAATAATGAAAAATGTGTCATTTATAATATTATTATATTTTTAAAAAACCACTAAGTATAAAATATAACAAATTTTATTTTTTTAATATTTTTGTTTATAATGACAGTAATAACTGTATGGTAAAGATTCAAACACTTAAACAAAAAAGAACACAACACTTATTTATAAACACAAATGCTTTATTATGTTTCATTTAAATTATTTTTAATTATTTTTGTCCAAAAAAAGAATAAAATTTGTTTAACTGGCTGATTTTTTCTTTTTGTAAAAAATAAATTAGATTCGGACCTAACCCCGGGTAAATTGAGACGTATGAATTTAACCCTTGAAATAAAGAAAAATCAAATATAAACAATTGTTATTTTTTTATTATGTAACTACGTTGATATCCACAATAATTGTTAAACAGATTTTGTTTATAATTAAATATAAGCGAAATATTATATAACATTATTTATTTCTTAACTATCATCTTATTATTGTTTTTTATTAAATACAAACAATAAACACATGTTTTTTTATAACACCACAACATTTATTATAAACTTAAATAAATGCACCTATTAAATATTTATTTTTAATAATATAACAACACCAGTTTGTATATACAGTTTTACTGTTTATTACTTCACTTTCATTTAAAAAACTGCCTATTAATAATAGTTTTGATTTTAAAACATGTAAACATGTAACATCAAACTGGATCTTCAAATGATAACACTGAAATCATAATAATATAAAAATTTACAACAATTTTGATTTACAACTTGTGGCGTATACATACATATAAGATAATAAAATCAAAAATTCTCATAGCCTAAAAGTTGTTTTAATTGTTAAAAATTCATTTTATAAGTTTTCTATCTAAGTCGCCATACTTTTAACATTTTTTTATATATATTAACACGTATAAAAATCAATCTTAGTCATTTAATCTGTAAACAACAAATTTTTGTATATTGAAGGTTACAGACTTATCCACTCCACAAATCGTTTGAGTGCAATTTTTGTAATTAAATGATGATTGTGCGCACTTACAAACCACATTTTTGTTTTTCCTATTGTAAACAACATTAATGTCTCCACACCCAACATCAAAATACTTAGAACTCCGATTTGCACCAACTGAAAATGCCTTTTCATAATTTTCCGCTTTAATTTTAAACATTTTGTAATTGTTGTCTTTATTATCTCTCATTTGGAATATGAAACAGTCTTTATCATATA